AAGACAAATTAGAACCAAACTGAGTTATCTAAGATGCTTGGGCACCGATCTGTACCTTCTTTACAAAATCCTCTTTTCTTATGACCAAGGAAATTATGAAACTTATAAGTCCCTGAAAAGAACACATTGAAATGTCTTATGACCAAGGAAATTATGAAACTTACAAAATCCTCTTTTCTTCTTTTATTCTAAAGGGGGGTCTTTTTCCCCAAGAGGGACAATAATTTAACTGTCTTTAACTAATAAATCAAATATTTCGTCGCACTTAGATACATCAAAAGTATAAGTTTTTGCGACGTATTTATCGGTTTTTCCAGTTTCGATAAGATTTTTTCCATCGTTACAAGAGTATTCGTCAGCGACTATGTATGAAACTTTCTCTTTCTTGCGGTATCTGTTAGCCTGAGTTTTTTCATTTTTTAAACGTTCGACCTGTCGGACCCTGTTAGCTAGCTGCGCCATATCTCTGAGATATTGTGTGTCTAACTTTTTCATGATAGAGTAATCTAGGACGCCGGCCGCCATCTCGACTAGCTCATGTTCAGGGACTTGCGTGAAGCATCACACCTTCAAAAGTCTAAACCTGTTAAGATATTGATCCACCGACTCTGTGGCCTTTCGTTCGACACTGACTAACTCTTTCAGACTAATTTTCGATTGTCCCGTGTAAAAATGTTCATGAAACAACCTTTATAATTGTGCCCAGGTATGGACAAACTATGGGGGTAACGTGGTAAACCAAGTAAACACATTCTTTGTGAGGGAACTTTGGAAATACTTCATTTTCAAGTCCTCATTGTTTGTTATGTTACCAGCTTTAGTTTGATATATGGCAACATGTTTGATGGTGGACTCTTTAGTCTCTTCGGCGAATTTAATGAACTTTGGAACCTTTCATCCCCTAGGCAGCTCTGTTTGTAAAACAAAGTCTGGTAGTGGGGACGTATATGTTGGTCGTCGAAGGCCTGGGTTCACTCCATTGCGAACCATAATCTGTTCCACCATAACTTCTAAGTTTGGTTCGCCAACCATGGCTTCGTGTCGAACTTGCATGACCACATAGTCTGTGTTTTGGTTCCTATAAACTAAAACCATGTGAGGCCTTTGGGCCACCCTAGGTGTGTGTTCAACCTCACAGGGTTGTTGGTCAATTGTTTCGTCGAAGACTTCGTCTTGTCGAATTGGTGTCTCGATCGAGGCAGAGGAGTTTGTCGACCCGGGGCCTTAAGAGCGCCTAGAAAATCACCTATCTGTGTCATCTGAGTCACCAACTGTTGGTAACTCTGGGTCAAATCTTGTATTAATGGTCTTAATATTGTGCTCATTTGCTGGGTCAACATGTGAACCATTTTGTGATTACTCTCATCCATCTGCTGTCTCAAAACGGCGACAGAACTTGAGGTGAAAGTTGGAATTGATTGAGATGGAAGACTAAACCCCGGGGGCCTAGTAACTTGGTTCGCCAAAGGCCCTAATCCTTGATACGGTGAGAAAGTTGACGATGAACTTTCTACAAAGAGTGGACCACTATGATGTAAGCTCGACATGAACTCTATTAGCATCCCAAAGACTCGAGGTGCGGGCATTGTGAAACTAGACACATACTGCCCCCCAGTTCCTGTCATCATAGGCCTATGATCAGATCGACGTGGCATCACGACAGACCCACTATGTGCAGTCGAAATCGCAGACACAATGTCAGCGCCAACATTAGTTGTTTGCGTCACAACCGTATTTCCCTCCGAAGATGGTTCTTCGTTTGGACGTGGTATCACCACCTTACCACTACGTAAATGCATACACCTAAATCAACGGGCCCCATCGGGCGTGCCAATTTGTTTGCACGCAGTTTTCGCACGAACAACCTATGGCCTTCTAACGCAGGTTTACTTGCGGGACTGGCCAAACAAGTCCCAGAACAATCTGGTCGAGCCTATGCGATGCTGATAGAACGATTTTGTTTAGAATAAATTGGACACAAGCTTGAAGAGAAATGTACGCGAATTTGGTAAGCAAACAAAATAAACAAGTAAAAGGCAAGATATCTTTAAATTTTGGTAATGTTAATTGCTTTTTAAAAAAATATGGACGCAATCATACATTTTTGCAGGAGTGGACTTTTTTCTCTTAACACTTGGTACTCAGAGTGTATCCCTTTGATAATGTTACAAAATACGCCCCTTAAAAAGAAAATGGGCATTGCTTTAAATAGGAAAAAAAATAACTGCTTTTCTCCTCATATTGGTCTTGGTGCGACACGTGTTACTCCACCATCTTTGAAACTTCCCCACGGTCTCAGCCTTTCAAATTTCTTCCCCCTCAAAAGTCTTTCATACTTTGTGTCAGTTTCATTGGCCATCAATCGACACCTTTGACGGCATAACCTTGAGTCGACTCTCAATCTTCTGCTGGCATCGACTTGTGTCGTTTCCTTCACCATCTTCCTAACCTATCGACCCACATGTCAGCGTTTTCGTCAACTCTTTTTCAGTTGAAATCTTCCAGCCAACACCTGCACTTGCTCTCCAGAGAATCCGACCAAATTACCTTTAAAAGGTAACAACTCTGTGATATCAAAATCCATCCCCTTGAATGCATCTCAATACAAAACATCTGTTGAACTTCCTGGATCTACTAAGACTTGTTTCACGCTTCAGTCCCGAATTTGCACTTTAATTCCCATTGGGTCGTTCTCATGGGCAAATACTCTTTTGGCATCTCTTCTAGAAAAATTGATTACGACTGGATTTTCCTCTTTTTCTAAAAGCTACTTTTGTCTGAAATGCATCATTGTCCAAGCATATCTTTTTCTCTCCGAATTGGTTGCTCTTCCTCCTGCTAATCCCCCACCAATGGTGTTCAATGTATGACGAGTCACTCGGGCTTCACGGACCTCATCAGTACTCTTCCCTTCTTTTTGTAGATGGTTTTTCGAACTGGTATCTTCTTAGGGAGGACTTCTCTTTCTTAGCTGTCCTATGACATCTTTCACATACGACAATAGTCGACCTCTATAAATTAAGATCTCAATTTATTTTTTTAGCTGATGATAATTCTCTGTGTGATGTCCACGAAGTCCATGGTATGCACTCTCGTCTTTTCCCATCACATCGTGGACCCCTTTGGACGCTCGGGATGGGAAGTAATTTGAGATGATAAACTTCTCTCAATATATCCTCTCGTCTGACATTCAATGGTGTGTACTTGATCTCTTTGTCAAACGGACGTTGGGATGGCCCCATCGTTGTCTGGTCCTTAGGTCCGGGCTTAGGGTACTCCTTCTTATGCCCAACTTCCTCATCTTTAGCTCATACTTTTCTTTGGCGTCTTAAGATCTCTTTTCCATGTTACTTTTCTCCCATTTGAAGTATCATTTCGCTATAGTAATAACCTCATCCATGTTGGATATCGGCTTTTGTGCTAAGGATTCGTTGAACTGTTCGGCTTTGAGGCCATGTTGAAATGCTCCCATGAGCATTTCTTGATTTCGATAAGACACTTTAATTATTTCTTCGATGAACCTCGCCATATGCTATTTGAGAGATTCTGAATACCATTATTGAACATTAAATAAACCGGTGGTTGATACTTTTCTATGTTTGCTTGCTGAAAAGTGTTGTGCCATCTTTTTAGTTAGGTTCTGGTAGCTAATGATCGAGAATCTGGATAAGCTCATATACCATTGCAGAGCTCTCTCTTTAAAGGTATCAACCATGAGTTTACACTTAAAAGAGTCTGAAGCCCCTACTATTACCATTTGATTATTGATCGCAATAATATGCTCATGTGGTTCGGTTTTACCATCAAAAGATACTAACAACGATGGTTTGAAGTTCTCTGGAACTTGATCATCCCAGATCGCCTCAGACAAAGGTAGGGAACCCATAAGCTCCTTCTCTCTCCTCATCTAGTTGACTATGTGTTTGCAAAGCATGCACAGTATCTTGCAATGTTTCATTCTGTTGATGAAGAGCCTCCACTATCGCGAGTAATTTGGTTAGATCTGGTGGCGAAGGTGGATCACTTCAACTGGGAGATGATTTAGATATCGCACAGCTGGGCTATTAGAGATTTCGATGATTATTTTTTTGTGGTCTGGAAAAATAGTATCAGACCCCACGGTGAACGCCAAATGTTCTTACTAAAAACAGAAAAGGTTGGCTTCTCCGTTATTAGTCTGGGAGAGCCTAAAATTATTGTTTAAGTGTCTATAAATGTATTTTAAACTCGATTTCAAGAAATTCCGAGATGTACATATATATAAACAAAATTATATTTAATTTTTAAATATTTAAATTAATATTATTTTCTTGACATTTTTTAATTATAATTTTATTAAACTAATTATAATTATTTAATTTAATTTTTAAATTTATTTAAACCATATTTGGTTTTTATTTTTTATATTTTAAATTATATTTTATAGAAGTAAATCAGTAACTCATGTTTGTATTACATCTTACTAGTTTCTAACCCAAATTCAAAATAAAAAATTTCCACTTAGAGATATTACTAATAAGTCTCAGAAGTAACTTAACATATTTGAGACATGATTTATCATATCTCAAATCATGTGTCCGCCTTAAATAGCCCAACTCGATATCTAAGTTTTCTTTTTCAACCAAAAAAAAAGAACAATTTGTTTACTTCTTCAAGGTCAATTTTAATAGCCATCCAACCAACCCAACCTTGTTTAGTAGTAGTAACCTGTAAGACACATGACAGAAGCTAATCCACCAGAGATTCTTAACACTACAAACCGGTTAGATTTTTGTTACAACAGTTATCCAAGAATATACATATGCTCTGATCATAACCAGTTCAAAGATCTAAATATACAAATATACAAAAAGTGGAAGAAAAAAAAAACTATCCACAAGACAGTTAACTATTACAATATGATATTATACACTATCTAAAGATTACTCTTACTCCATGAAGCTGCTTCAACACAATTTATTCAAAATCTTTCAAAGTCCTAAGCCTAAGAGTAACACAATCTAGATGCCATCAGAAACCCAAGTATCCTTGATTCCTTCTTTCCATATTCCCCATCTCCATCTAACTCCAGGAAATTTGCTTCTGCATGTGGAGATGAGGTTTCCAGAAACACAGGGATCAACATCACTGTGGATGAGCAGAGAAATGTCTCCCAATTGGATGCATTTATCCAAAATAGAGAAAATAAATGCAAGATTAAACTCAATTTCATGTATCACAATATGTGCAATAAGCTCTTTCAATGTTTTCATCCCAATCGCATTTTCAAAACTTCCTCCTCGGAAAGAACTCTCCATTGCATGCCAAGCCCCAGAACCTAAACTAAGATATCTTATATTTGGGAAATAATTCAACAATATATCAAAGCCAAACTCCACTTGATCAACTTCAACCCCTATAACTATCTGTGTTCTTCTCACAAAATCTAAGTTAAGTCTCTCTACCGCTACACAACGATAGCGGCGAAACATGCTTAAAATGTAACCAAGAGAGAGGCATTCCACCTCAAGCTGAAGGCATTGTATGTTACCACAATTTTTCAATACTAACTCATCAGTATTCTCAAGAGAGAGATTGAAATTGGACAAGGAAGGTGCGTCCAGGAAAATCAACTTAGGCTTGATACACTTGAGATGGAAATCAACAAGACTTGGTGCACATATAATCAAAGAAAGAGGAGCATTGGAAACTGACCATTGACAAGTCTGAAGATGTGAGAGATTAATCGAGGGCTCTTTAAGTCCTCCAACTCCAATAAGATTAAGTTGCGTAAGATTAGGGAAACAAGTATTGATCATGTTCAAATCCTCGTCATCCAATCTTACAAATTCAAGAGTCAAATTGGTCAATGTGGGCATCAAACACAAACCATCCACAGCTAACCAAGCATTCCTAATCACCAATTGCACCAGACCATTACCTGCAACACAAAGGAAGCAAAATTATTAGCCACAAGATTTTAAATAAGATTTGGAAATGCGATAGTGGCCACAATATCAAGGATTTTGATGTCTTGGCCATGGTTTTAAACAAAGGCATGCAATAACTATACTGGTCGCAACATAATAGCTTTTATCTTGCCAACACCACAACACAACATGACGGGCCGAAACCACACAGCCATGATTGTGGCTAAATCAACATTAGTTGTATTTGATTGCGACTCTCTGTCTGTCAAGGACGCATGCGCCATGACTGCAATCAATACAATGACCATTATTTAAAATTTGTTCTTGACAGCAATTGCAACTGCATCACAGTATTTGAAAATAATCATTTATTACATGTGTATATTTGATCAAACTGTGTTTAGTTAACTAGTTTATCAGACTACGAACCACTTCTAAACACATTTTTAAGTCTTATCTCATAAAATGCGGGATTTTTAAACAATCCCGCCCCACAATAGGATACATGGAGAGATTGACATGAGTTGTCACCTATGAAAGCATGGACTTCGGAAATACGACCCTAACGTGACGCCGATACCGGTAATAATTTAAAAAATAAATAAATTAGTCGATTTCAAACGCAATACTTACACATGCAAATTTAAATATAACGAATTGTATTGCAATGAGAATTGAAAACCTTGATTATTAGACATAAAGAGAAGAAAAAAATAACAATAATTGAGAAATGAGAAGCTAACAGGTGGAAGAAATGAGGGATAACGCTTTGGATCGTCTCCAACAAGATTGAACCCAGAAATCCGAAACAGACAGCGACTTGATAGACCGAGAAAGACACGGAAGCCAATCAAGAATGAAATTGAACTCGGTGAGGTGAAGATCATCGGACTCATCTTCAACATCATCAAAGGAGATACCACCGAGCGATCGATCAACGCCGATAGACACAGATTCGAAATCCCGGGATCGGTGAACGAGGTTCTTCAAAACGGTCTTGAAAGGCGTGACGAGGTGCTTGGTTTCCGGTGATCGGGATTTGAGGTACCGAGACATGGAACAGAGTAGGGTTAACGAGCGGACTTCGTTTGAGGCTTGGTTTAGCGTGGTTGAAACGAGTCTGCATCGTGCTAGATCGGAGGAGTCTTGTAGGCGGGTTAGGATTTCTACCACCAGCGGAGAGGGGAGGTTTTCCATTGAAGGAGTTGAACTTGCACCGCGCGAGATTATGACTGGTTGTTGTGTTTGCGCGTGTTTCGCTAGACTTTTTGAAATGGAATTTATATTTTATTTCTTTTAATTGTTCGGAACGCGCGTGGATTTTACTTAGTCTTTGGGTTTAAAGGTTTAGAGTTTTGGGGAGATATTACAAACATTTTTATTTGGGAGATTTTTTTAGATAAATGAGCTAAATTTTCTCTCTCGTTTTATCTTAGCTTCTCGTGGGTTGAGGTAAAAGAGAAAGAAGTGGAAATTAGGATTTGTTATTGGAGAAAGAGAATGTCATTTCTTGTAACTATTTTTGTAACTCTTATAACAATTTGTTCATAGTAGATCAAAAAAGTGTCATCTTCTCCATACATATATTATTTTGGATTGAATTGAGTAACGAAATCAATGTTGTTCTTTTTTTTCTCTATTATCTTGTTTTGAAATCGAAAATTGCACTAAAAATTTTGAGAATTTTTTAAAGCATTATATAGCTTTCTAATACACCACGTGAAATGTTAAATATGTCTTTTATTTATAGAGATATATTTTCGGATACATTCAACACACATTCAATAAAGATCATTCTGAATTATATGTATTATTTTAGTTCAATTTATTTTAAAGATGTATTTTCGGAATATTTCTGTATTTGCATCTCCGGATTCACACCAGAAACAAATTCAATAGATCCAAAATAAAATTGACATTTATAACATAAAATAATCATTACAATGATGATTTCAACAAAAAATTTAATATTACATTTCAATATTCTGATGGACGTTTGCATATGTTCGGGATATCTTTGACCGATCTTTGTATCATTGCTTCAAACTCTAGCAGAACTTTTTCATCGAAATCGAAAAATACATCCCACATAGCCCTAACATCTGCTTGCGTCTTAAGCTCAAACTTGGTGAACTGAAGCTTCCCTCCGTTGTCAATCGAAAGTGAACGGTACTCAGACTTCACATCTTTCGATTGTCTCTGTAAGGTAGAAGATCGTGGATTTCATCTTTGACATCATTCAAAACAATTCTAATATAAAGGTGCATTCACAAAATTCAATTTACGAGATTGCAAAAAACTTTCCCCATATTCCCTATATCCTTACATAGGCAAAAACAATCGAGTGGATTAGATTGAAAGTAAAAAACAAGCATGGATCAACACTTCATACCTTTTCAGGTTGTGCATCAAAGAAAACAGTGAAACGTTTCAATGATGGGATTGCATTTAATGTACACGTTGTACATTACTCTTTGGCAAAACCAAAGTAGCGCACGCTAGCCAACGTCTTGATAGTCGCTCGCAAAGGCTGACCACAGCTACTAAAAGGTTATCCCGACATCCAGAGTGTTTGACGAGTCTTAGGGGCAATAAACCCTACTTCACACTAACCAAAGGCCCAATAACACAAGACTCATTTGTCTAACCCGCTTCATTAGGCCTAAGGTATCATTATCTTCATTAAAGATTTTCAACTACACAATCTCTCACACCTACACACACAAAATCTCTCTCTCAATCTTTTCTTACTAAACTTTTGATATTCACTTTCTATTTTCTAAGAGAGAAAGTAGCAATTTTCGATTTTTTAAAATAGATGATAGCAACAAATATTAGAAATTGCAAATGATAGATTGTAATTAATGGAGTATTAAAATTGACAATAATAATAATAATAATAATATATACATTTATTTTAGTTAATTTATATATATATATATATATATATATATATATATATATATATATATATATATATATATATATATATATATATATATATATATATATATATATATATATATATATATATATATATATATAAATTTGGAGCCTAAAAGAAAGGCTTTACTAATCTAATGGTTGAGTCGGCCCTGATATTTCTCAATATTTTTTTACCTCAGTTTTAAATCCTAACAATAATATATATAGTTTGAATCATCTTTTTTAATGTCCATCGTACTAGAAATAATAAATAAAAAATTGATTGTACTAATCATAATTTCACCACATTGTTTGGTAACTAAAATTAAACAAATCATATTACCAAAAAAAAACATCAAACAAATCACCTAATTTGTTTGATATGATTTTTAAAATACTGATTGAAAAGTCTAAATTATTTTTAGTTAAATTATAGTTTTTGTCCCCTATTTTACCAAATTCACAATATCAGTTTCTTTTTTTTTTAAACAGTTTTGGTTCTCCATGCCCATTTGTCAATCAAAATGCGCTGATGTGTCATGTTTTTATTATTACGTGGCATTTCAGAACTGACATGTCAATAAAAAACAAATTTAAAACATATAATAATACAAAAAATTAAATATATTAAATCTCAAACCTAAATTCTCAATCTTCATTTGTTTCTTCCTCAACCCCTAAATTCAGCTTCATCGTTGGTTTCTTCTTCATCTTCTCTTCAAGCTCTATAATAAGCTCTTCAAGCTAAAACCCAAATCACTTCTTCCAACCTAAATCCCTTTGTTATGGATTCTAAATTTGTGCAAGTATCAAATTTTTCTTCTCATTCTGGGAGGAGAAGGATATAATGTTTTTGTGGGTTAGACTCACCACTTACAACTTCATGGATATCCTGGAATCTAGGTCGAAGGTTCTATGGTTTTGGGTTATATAAGGTACAGAGAAATCTCTAATTTTTGTGCATTCTTCATCTCAACATTTTGGGTAGTTTATAACTTTCAGTTTCTTTTATGTTTTACTTAGTTACATGGAAGGAAATGATGCTCTTTTTTTTATTATTGGTATGATGAGAAGATACCAGAACATTCACAAAAAGTGATTAACTCTCTATTGAAGAAGGTGAATGATTTGAAAAAGAAAAATAGTTTAAAAAAGAAGAGCGTTGATGACCTGAAGAAGAAGATCAAATTTTTTATTGTTTTGTTGATTCTATCTTGGTTTTGATCATCATGTTGATTACAAAAACATTTGCTTGAGTAATGTTGTCATTGTTGCAAGATAGTATTGTTAATGTTATTGCCAAATTAAAGGTCGTAAGCTTATGTTATAAGGTTGGAATTAATGGTTGTAATGGATGATCCAAGTTATTGTTATTGTCACAAGATATGTTTATGGCTGTAAGCTTATATGGTTTAAATGGATGTAAGGTTATTTTACGTGCATACTGCTTTAGAATTATAAGGTTATTTTCGAATCATAATTCCAAATTTGTAAGCCTATTGCAATCACAACAAAAAATGGAAATGAGAAATTATACTTCACATTTTCTATTTGATAAGGTAATGCATGCTAATTATAATATAAAATGGAAATTGTAATTTGCAATTACTACACAAAATGAAAATTTTAATACAAAATAAAAATTATACTTTGCAATTATAAGGCAATTATAATACAAAATGGAAATTGTACTTTGCAATTACAACACAAAATGTTAAAGGTACTTTTCAATTACTACACAAAATGCTAATGTTGTCACTACTGTCAAACTGATACAAAATAACATTCATTGTCAAACTAATAATGTTACATTATCTTTAATCCAACACAAAATATGATGCATCTTACAAAAAAGTTCTTCATTACATAAATATTAAACAAAAAGGACAATGTAGTCAAGTTGTCTCTTGAGTCTATGACGCTTGCGATCCTTGAGTCATAACGGTTGGTGCTTATTTGGTTGATGCAGTCTTTTGTATTTTTTGCATTGTTACTTCCTTTTTTCAATTGGAGATCCGCCACTGTTTTGCCTTTGCAAGTTCTTGAGTTGTGCCCAAAATTCCCACAAGTCTTACACTTTACGGTGGTCAAATTTCTAAGCAACACATTGCTTGAAATGGGTTCATCGTTGGCTTTGTTTCTCTTTTTTTTTTGGGACGACCAGGAGCTCTTCTCATACTCTGATGATGAATTGGCTCGCCTTGAGTTGTTGCCAAAAGTCTTGAACCACTGGAAGGTAGAACTACATATGAGTATTGTTAGGACAAGATTTGGTTCTGCAAGATATCTCTAAGTTTTGATAATAACAAAGTAGTATTTGTGTGAGAATAATTTTGGTACTCTAACGTTTGTTTTTCTGAAGTATTAACAAACAGGTTCTGACTCTAATAGAGAAGTTCTAAACCTGATAGAAACCATATTCAATGTTACTCTGATTTGACCAAAGTCACTTCTGCGCTATAAGAAGCAGGCCTGCTTCTGATCTACTCTCACTCAAAAAGATTTTAAGAAGACAATGTGTTGCTGCTGTAATGCTCTCTTAGTTTCTGCCTCTGATCGTGACTCTAACACTTTACTTCTAAAGGCTTTCTATCTTTTGAAGTCATTATCTTCTGAAGACTAAGTGCTGAAGACTCTGAAGACAAGGTTATGTTGAACGAAGTTCTGAAGACTCTGAAGACTTGATTTCTGAAGGATAAGTATTGAAGACTCTGAAGACTTAAGTTACTAATGACCAAAGGTTTTGAAGACTGGGTACTTAAATTTCTGAAGAAAAGGTTCTGGTGAACAAGTTCTAAAGACTCTGAAGACTCAAAACTCTGAAGACCTAGTGATCAAATCTTCTGCTCATGCTTCAATCAACTCTATTCAGAAGCCTTTGATATAAAGAAGATAAGCTCAATCGTTTACAAGGAAAACTAGTACATAGTACGTTTCAACGGTTCATTCCACTACCGTTCCACTACCCTGATTTGGTGGTACAAAGGATAACTTTTGTTTACGATTTTCATCCCTGTGTAACAACATTATTTCAAGTCGCCAGCTATCTAAAGGATATTCCTGGTCTGCCCTCCAACGGATCTTTTTTCTGTCTATATAAGGACTTGATTACTTGAAGAAATTAAGAAGATTTACAATGACAAAGTACAAAGATTACACTTTTATTGAAGAATATCTATGAAGAACTAAAGCTACAGTATTGAAGTGTCACAATACAAAGAAAGAACATTGTTTATATTGTAATAATGTCTTTAGTCATTTGAGTTATTAAT